ATATTCAGGACAATAAAAATTTGTTAAGTTATCGACAGATGATACTTATTACAAAGATGAAACTTAACTTATCGACATCGTAGCGTTGGTAACACTTAAATCGTATTTGATTTGATCGGAAACAATTAAAAATAATTAATACAAAATATCATAAATGTCGATTCAATTTTTACTTTACATTATTTTACATTTCATACTGTCTCAAGAAGATGCGAGGTGAACAGTACTTTTTCGTTATAATGGTTTAGGTACTAGCGTAGGAAAGTATGATTCGTTAATTGATTGAAATTGCTTATCAGTATGAAATTTATCTTTATTCACTGTACAATTTCTTACATACAAAAAGTGCAATGCCTTTAAAAATTGGTCACAATAATTGACTTAATTGCGCACAGAATGAATTCATTCGCGTACACAAGTGTTTCACGATTATATACACGAGAATAAAATAATTTTCTTTCTTTACAATTTGCAATGCTATGTACAACTTATATCAGCAGTTGTTATAAACGAAAGTTTAATACTTTTTTTGCACTGTTCAATTGTCAAATGTATAAACGTGGCGAACGTTTACAATAAGTCGAGACCATCGGGTTGACGATAAACGAGAATAGAATCTTTAATTTTTTCATAAATTTTAAAACACATGGCTCTACCTTTAAGTAGTTGTAAACTATAATATAAAATTGTAGAAGATCTAATTGCAAGTATGACAATTCATGTTTAGCACCGTTTTATGTCAGTAATCAAGTTAATGTTAATTACAGTATAAGCAACCTATAAATTTTCGCTTGTTTTTACAATTCCACACATTCGCTTAATTTTTATACATTACATTTTGCGTTAAAGTCCGCTAGACCGCTATATTACATCTTATACTCTGTTCGTAGTTACAAAAGTATAGGCAAGAAACATCACATCACATAAAAGATATAAATTCGGTAGTTGAACGTGTATCTGTGTCAGGAACGTGCAATAAAATTTTAATGCGTTTTTTTCATCGGTATAATTATCGCGTTGATGCAAGGCAACCGCAGTCCTTTCGTTCTCCACGATTTATAAATTGAAGTGTCGCGATCGAAATGGCGTTTCCAAGATAAACCGCGTATTTCCTGTCGTGTCGTAATGATGCATTTGATTTTAATCGATCGGTAACAGTCTTTTACGCAACAGGAGTTTCGACACGGCTGGCCGTGTTACGCCACTTCGTACATATATGCTAACACAGGACGACATTACACCGCGAACATTATATAAAATCTATCGATAACTTCCACGCATTAACGACAGAGCGAAATCTTTATATTTCTATGACTTTCATTTCACAACTCGACGATTGTACGTAACGGTACGTTACCGACTAAGCGCATCCTAGTTCCTTTATCGATAAGGTCACGCTAGGTTTGAATACGATTTAAAAATGCGAATTGGTCGTTTCGTTCGGGAGAAAATAACTGGCTTTTTCAGCGCATAAAAATTTCAGCTGAACAGCACGCGATACGCCGAAAGTAGTCGGGGAACAATTCAGCCGCACAGGGGGTTTCATACCAAGAACATTTTTCCGCTGTAGGAACGCCGCGGGTAACGAAGAACGCAGGTTTGCCGCGATTTCACCGGTAATTCGAAAAATGCATAGGAATTAGCGGGCGCGGTATGTGTGCGTGCACACGGGATAAGGACGTTTCGGTGGCAACGGCGACAAAGGTATTCGCTATAGGCACGTAGATGCGTGAGTTTATGCGTGCGCGCTGGCATAACCCTTGGAAGGGAAGCAGAGGCGAGAGAACGAGCGAGAAGAGGTAAAAGGAGGGGCGAGGTGTGCGGGTCGCCAACACATATCTCGATATCTCACGGTTCGATCTTTCTCGGTCCGGCTGCCCGTATATTTACATGTATAATTTATATATCCCGTAGCAGGGGCGAAGGTGGTGTACGGCCAGCCAGGGCGGGTCCTAACGTCCTTACGGCCGTATTCCTGCCGACGCATCCTTGGCGTGCGCTCGACCACGCTGCTCTCGGTATCGTCGTTATACGGAGTTCCTCGCTGATCAAGAAATTCGCGAGAATCCAACAGATTGAATTCCCACGATTCCGCTGCGCTGACGATTTTGTTACGCTCGTCGACAAACGAGAATGCGCCTTAATACGATACGGCACTTCCTGGATAGATCGGTTTTGCTTCGAAAAATTTCCACGCTCTTTGACAACGTTATAAATACGAACAGCTTTTGGAGGATCAACGAGGAAGTATCGGTAGTGGAAAATTTTCCGCATTCACACGTTCGCATTCGTGCATTTGTTACTCGTACATAGGAACTCGTTAATGGTCATCGGCATACACCACGCGGAGGGACACGCAGTCATGGCTAAAGGGAATCGTGTCTCCGTGCGCGCGCGCGCGTTTCGATTACTCCGCGTTCTTTCAGATTGTTTTCGCGAGGATGCTGCTCGGTATCCTTTAAGCTACGAGACATAAATTTCTTCGCGCAGCTGCGAATCGCTCGCGAGTCTGACCGATACATGTTGGTCGCGCAAATGCGGAAGATCCTGGCGGAGGAAAGCGGGCCTTAATTAAGCGCGGGGCACCAACGAATTCCATAATACGTTCCCGTTCGCGTAACACGACCACGATAAGAGCCGCTTAACCGACGGCGCAGCACGGCGCGGAGAGGCGCGTTCGTGGGATTTTTTTCGGCGAAATAATGCGCCAGCGCCAAGCTCCGCCGGCTCTCCCTATCGCCATTGTGGCCGCGAGGGCGCAATTAATTATTGCGTGCCCGCGAGGGAGTGCATTGTTGCATCTGTTGTTGCACGCTCCGCGTTCCCCTGTGTGTACGGTTAAGCGGAGAGCCGTGAATGATTCCGCGCCGCGGAACGTATTTTCGGCGAGCTGAAACCTTGCGATTCTTTGTGCACCTCGTACCGTAGGGCCGCGGTAATTTATGAGCTCACGGTAGCCAGGCGTAATTTACGTCGGCTTACCGGGATACACGGTCGATTAAGAAAAGAAACGTACTTTTCGCCTTCGAGAGTCAACACGGTGCCTACCGTGACTACCTCGCACAGGTATCTCGCTTCGCTCTTACCTTGTGCTTGTTAAGCTTCCCTTTCTTTCTCGCTTCGAATACTTTTCTTAATCGCCACGCGTGGTCCCTCTGTTATGGCAGTTACATATTACGAAATTAGAAATCCTCGCTACAATTTATATGGCGAATCGATCGATCGAGGTTCAGCGAAGTTTCGCGTGCATGTCGGAGAGAAGGAGAATTCGTTGGTTAAAGGGCTGACGGTGCCCGAATCTCAAAGGTGTGTGCAGTGATCGCGCGCCGACAAGCTGGCGCAGGTGAGATACAAATGAAAGACGTAAACGCGGGCGCTGCGGAGAATCTCGTGCCGAACGTCTCCTCCGGTTCTCGTGTTCTGTCGAAGGAACAATCGAGCCTGTCCGAGGGAAGGTAATTAAGAGAACACGACGGCGTCGATTAAACGAGTCCTGCCGAATCGGGTGAAACGAATTAATTTCACCGTCGAACGAGGGTCGAAGATAAACGATTGAGCCTGACGGAGGCCAGGGATCCTGTTTAACGATTCAGTGACGAATACTATCACGCTGTGAAATGGTCTCCCTGTTACCATCGAAACGAGTTTTGCGACGGTCAACCCTTTATTGGCAGGGTGAACGTTTCCACTGGTTTTATACAAAACGTGATCATTATCGCGGACTCTCAGAGCGACGTTTGATTCGTTGATATTGCCTACTCGTGTAAGTTGACGCTTTAAATTTTATAGTACAAGTTTGTAAAAATTTGTTCGTTGTTTGAAGAAAATTTTTCACTTTTATGCTCCTTTCGTAACTGTCCCGATATTTACGAATGAGCTGTACACACGTATATGAAACATTTGCGCGACGATCATTAATGTATATATACAAACAACATCGAAAACTTTCACTTCAACGAATCGAAGATTAAATACAAAAATTGTCGTGAAGAAATTTCGTTCGGTTCGCAAAATTGCGAAACACCGTGTACGTGAGAGCAAAGATATCGTGCACGGGAGAAAGGAGAATGCCAGTGAAGCACCCCATGCCATTCGCTCGAAATGCAAAAGCAGAGCGGATGTTGCCGAGGGCGCTGACTGAAAGCCCCCGAACGTCAAATTACGAAACACCTGTTCCCCGAAACGACTTCATTCCAATCGGTTTCGTGCATTCGCGTTTCGAGCCGTGTTCTCTTAGCCTTCGCGCGGAGACCCTCTCATTTCGCGTTCGAATTTTTGCCAGCAGACCAGAGATACGCCGGAGACCGTGTTGGATCCATTGTTTCCCTGGTCGCGTTATCGCGTTAGAGGAATAAGAATCATAGTCGTTGTAGGAAGGGATACGTTAGCATATTAATAAGCTCGCAGATTAATTCTCTGTGAACGGCCATTCCCTGAGAGGAGAACAATAACGACATTGTAAACGCAACGCGAGATTTCGTTACGCAAGTTTCGTTCACAGGGTACAGGAAGAGGTACTTTGCTCCTCTAGGCGCAACAGTCCATGTCCTCTTAAGGATAGTATCGGTTCTCGAGGAGTAGTCGTAAATTCGTGAAATGAGAGCGGAACATGCAGCTTGAAAATATTTATGGCACTACCGTTTCACGCAAAGGCAAAGGTACATCACGAACCTCGTCGAGTATACCTCGATCGAATTTGCATCGTACGAAGCTTTGATCGTCTTCCTTACCCTTCTTACCCACGTTATCGAGATAATTTCTCGCGACACCGAATGATCGACCCAGTACCGAGCACCAAAAGGCACACTCGTTCGCGATCTTATACAATATTATTCCTGAGCCCTGATTATCATCGAAAACTTCAGTCTTCAGCCTCCGGTGTTCAGGACTGCCTACCGGGACGGAAAAGAAAACGCTGTAAACACGCGCGAACACTCTGTTCCGAGTGTCCCTCGATAGCTTTTCTCACTCGCTAGTTCAGAATACAGACATGTCTGGTTCTAGATATAGTCCGAGGGTACCGAGCTCTCGTTTATCGCGGCCAATCGGTACTGAGGCGTTTCCAGGCCCTGTTGGTTCATGTGAAGATTCGTGTTGCTCCCGGAAGTGGCGGCCGCTGGCATCTGCTGATTCGCCGAATTCGAGCTTAGGTCACTATAGTAAGCGCTGCTGGGTGCGCTGCTGAGGGTAGGGCCGTCCGGTTCCGCGTCGCTTCCGGTGTACGCCGTGTTCTGATACGACGGATGGTCGCCGTTCCTGCTGCCCATCCGCAGGTCTTGATGGTGATGGTGATGATTGTGGTGGTGGTGATGGTGATGATGATGTTGCATCTGACCCGGCGGGACCGGCGTCGAAGGTCCGTTCTCGTACATCTCGTAATCCGGTTCTTGTAACCTGGAAAGATCGTATTACGGCGACTCGTAAACACTGAAAAGTTGATCAATTAACCTGTTATACGTGTTCAGAAGTGCGCTCTCTTGTATTGACGTATCAGGGGCGGCCGATTATCGTAATTTCCGAATGATAGAGTTGTAACGAATCTTGTAGCGAATTACACGCAAATTTATCGGACTCTTGGACGCGGGTATACACGCGTCGATCACACGTTTTCGCATTTATTTCACGCCAGAGACAAATGTATAATTAACCGACCGTATTCGCGATGATGTAAACGTTTAATACTCCGTTGCCTCGCGAGTGTTTATATTCGATTGAGCAACCGAGATGCACGTTAATAGAGTAATTATGCATGCTAACGGTACACTCTAGTCAGGTGGATTTCTCGTAATACACGGAGATTGCACGTCATCGTCGATGTCTCGCCATCAGGTGCTCACGTTTGTCCTTCGACAGGCGAGAACTCGCGTCGGGGAACGAAGGTGGTCTCTGATCGAAGGGGACTGCATTAGAGCAGCTTTCGATTGAAATTCCTCGTTCCTTCGGAAAAAATAAAAAAAAAAAAAAAAAAAAA